GGCAGCCTAATCAGATGTCCGAGCCCCCTCATCTGGCTCCTCTTGACGTGGAGGAGAAGCGGCTCGACTCTGAGCCCCTCCCGGATGACCGAGCTTCTCACCTTATCTCTAAGGGAGAGCCCGGACACCCTGCGGAGAAAGCTCATTTCGTCCGTTTGTATCCAGGATCTCGTTCTTTCAGTCATGACCCATAGCTCGTGACCATCGATGAGGGTTGGAACGTAGATCGACCGGTAAATTGAGAGCTTCGCCCTTTGGCTCAGCTCCTTCTTTACCACGACAGACCGATACAAAGTCCGCATCACAGCAGACGCTGCGACCATCCACCTGTCGATCTCTCGCTCCCTCCTGCCCTCACTCATGAACATGACCCCAAGGTACTTAAACTCCTCCACTTGGGGCAAGATCTCCTCCCCGACCCGGAGGGGGCAGTCCACCCTTTTCCGACTGATGACCATTGTTTCAGATTTGGATGATTTTCATACCAACCGCTTCACACTCGGCTGCGAAACACAGGGTTATGAACAGAATCGGCGACAAAAGGCAGCCTTGGCGGAGTCCTACCCTCACTGGAAACGATTCCGACTTACTGCCGGCAATGCGGACTACACTCTGACATTGGTGGTATAGTGACCGAACAGCCCGTATCAGGGCGTTCGGTACCCCATACGCGCACGGATAATATGCTTTATAGTCTGGGGAAGGCTGCACAGCCCCGAAAAAGTACATTTAGACATAAAAAAAAATACATTGTGGTCAAAGGTTGGAATGCGACTTACTAAGCATTTCCTCCCTTGTGATGAAAGAAGTATCAAACACAAATTTTGATGCCCAGCCTTTGTCAAATAGTATTTCAAAAACTTTTGTTTTTTCTTTACATGTTGTTGTCCCAGGTCTTAAGATGGTATAGGCAAAGTCGATCAGATCAATCCTGTAGGTCAAGGGTGCAAAATTATGACTCCTGTAGATTTGCAAAAAGGAGCCACAATTGGGGTGGAGTACGTGTAACTGTGATCATGTTTGACGTTCAACACTGCGGTGGGACACTTTTAGTTATTTTGTGTGTGTGTGTGTGTGTGTGTGTGTGTGTGTGTGTGTGTGTGTGTGTGTGATGTGAGAATATGTAAACTGTACAGTGATCCCGCACTTATCGCGGTTAATGGGGGCCGGGACCCTGCCCCGATAAGTGAAAAACTGCAAAGGAGAGTTTGCTTCCCACCCAGGAATTTTTGTGTAAATGCAAGTGGGTACCAGCATGTGAAAAATATGTAAACAGTAATGCTGTCAAACAATTAAAACATTTAATTGTGATTAAAAACGCAACTGTCATAATCGTGATTACTCACACATTTTTTATCGTTTCTAAATTTCGTATAAT